TATGTATGTATGTATGTATGTATGTATGTATGTATGTATGTATGTATGTATGTATGTATGTATGTATGTATACAGCAAGAGAATTGACTCATTTGCACTGTAGTGCTGGAAAAGGATCCTGGGTATTCCTTGGACAGTAAAGGTGACTAGCAAGTAAGTACTGGAGTGCGTAACGCAAGGCAGGTCACTAGAAGGCAAAGTCACGACTCTACATCTCACTTACTATAGCCGTGCCATGCAGGGGAATTCACCATAGAAAGCAATTATGTTTGAAAGAGTTAGTGGTAAAAATAAACCAAGCCATCAAGGAACATGGTGGCTCAACACTATCGGAGCATAGAAAAACATAGAAATAGTGCAAGATTGGAACATGTGGAGGGACCTGGCCTATAGAATTGCCAAGAGTCAGACATGAATAAACGAATATCATCATCATCATCATCATCATCATCATCATCATCATCATCATCATCATCATCTAGTATTGCTATGTACCTTAGGCTTCCAGATATTAGATGATATAGAGCACAGGTGTCAAATTTGCAGAATCACATTGCCATCATGTGACATTCTGCAACATTCTTCCCATTCATGGGTGTGGCTTGCATGTGATACATCTGGCCCACTGGCCACCTGTTTGACAAATTTGATATGGAGCATTGATCACAGCAAGTGGAACTGTCTTCTGCATCCCTTATAACTTGTTTGACTAAACAGGCCTGCTTGTAACCAAGGAGTAGACAGATGTGGCACACCCAAATAATTTAGTCAGCAGGGTTTACTTCCAGGTGGATTAATACCAGTGGTGGGTTCTGGATCCCGTTGCAACCAGTGCGTCCACCACATGAATGTGTGCACACATACACAGCATGCGCATGCATTCTTACCTCCTGCAATGCCTCCGCGATGCTCCAGCTTTTCAGCTGAGTGTCGTACAGGCGCCGTATGCTCCATGCACGTGCATGGAAGTACCGAAGAGCTCAAATAAAGGTAAGGAGGGCGGGAGGGCAGGTGGGCCCTCTAAAGCACTGTACCGGAACTTTACCCAGTGCTACCGGTACGCCCGTACCAGGGCACACCGCCTGCCGAGAGCCGAGGTGGCGGAGTGGGTAGAGTGCAGTACTGCAGGCTACTTCAGCTGACTGTTATCTGCAGTTCGGCGGTTCAAATCTCACCGGCTCAAGGTTGATTCAGCCTTCCATCCTTCCGAGGTGGGTAAAATGAGCACCCAGACTGTTGGGGGTAATATGCTGACTCTGTAAACCGCTTAGAGAGGGCTGAAAGCCCTATGATAGGGCGATATATAAGTCTAACTGTTATTGCTATTGCTATTGCTATTGCAACCCACCACTGATTAATACTCATTCTACAGTGAGGGAAAGAACATATACCTGTTGAGGAAAAATGCAGTCTTGGTTTTAAAAGATAGCTAGGGATAAATATATCCTGGATTTTACCAGGTCTTCCTTCATTGTTAGAGACACAATGGGAATAATGTTATAAGGAATATAATATCTCTCCTATTTTTAGTTGCTATTCATTTTTTTTTAAGCATGGCACCATTATTTTAGTCATCTAAAAAGTGTCTTTTCCACATTGTATTGCCATCACTATCTGTTCATGAAGATCATAAGGACTTCTTCTATTCCTATTTTTAAGCAACCTTTTTAGTCCAGAATATAAAAGACATTTTACAAGTAAGGAATTGTTAAATACTATTTAATGATATTATTATCTCTTAAGGTTTCTCAGCTTCCCTAGATAAATTGTTAAACCAGTTTCTGTTCTTACAATTAGTCTTCAAATAGTTTTGTTATACTTCTTGCATTATTACAATTTAAAAAAAAATATGAACCTCAGTACTGTTTTGAAGAACTGTAGCTTCACATTTTCACTTGGTGCAAATTCAAACAACCAGACTGTATCCTGGTTAATAGAAATTAAACGTCCCCATTCAGTCTGCTCTTCTTTTGCACATGCAATGTAGTTTCTTTAATTAGACCAGAGGTGGCATTCTACCAGTTCAGACTAGATCACCCAAACTGGTAGCAGAAATGACGGGTAGCTCCACCCACCCACACTGGCTCTATGGTATCCCATTTAGGCCATTTTTTTTTTGCCAAAAGCTCATGTGTGGAAGGATCTGTGCATGCACAAAATTGAAATTGAAATTTAATAGATTTGTATGCTGCCCAATCCCGTAGGACTCTGGGCGGCTTACAAGACAAGGTAAAAATTTAAAAAGTTAAAAAAAATAGAAAGATACAATTAAAAATACAATTTTAACACAACACACCCATACAATCCGCCTAAGTGGGGCTGGACCTTGTTCAACAGCCCCAGGCCTGCCGGAACAGCCAGGTTTTGGTGGCTTTTCGGAAGGCCGAGAGAGTGGAAAGGGTCCGGATCTCTACAGGTAGATCGTTCCATAGGGCCGGAGCAGCTACAGAGAAGGTCCTCCCCCGAGGGGTCGCCAGCGGGCATTGTCCAGCCGACGGCACCCGGAGGAGGCCCAACCACAAAAGTGGTCTGTGCATGCGACGCGAGCATAGGCATGCTCACATTTGCAAACCGATAGGGAAGGTAAGTGAATACCACCCCTAAATTAGACAAATACATCCTTTTTCTACATTGCATTCCTAATGGAGTTGGAATAACATGGATTTACATGGTAGGAATGTTTCAGCGCAAAAACACTTGTGGCGGCAGAATAAAATAAAGCCTGGGAAAAATGATGAATCAAAATTGACAGATACATTCATCCTACTTATGAATAGACATGTATATGATTGCACTTTCTGGCTATCGTGTTAGCACACTTACTTGAAAGTAAGCTTCACTGAGCTGAATGAACTTATTTTTTGAATAAACATGTCCCCAGAGGAGAATGTGAAATTGCCTCAGTCATGTCCAGAGTATGCACCTTTTCCCTGAATCATTATGAAATTATTATGCCCATGGCATAGTAATGGACAATGATAATTCTCATCTCAAACTGCTAAAATGCCTTTGAATTATTGCCCCAAAGGTGAGTGTGTGGCTCTAGTAATCTTCTATAAACATATCATTTTGAAGAGAAAAAAAATCAGAATGTAAAGCTACTGGGAGAAAGCAAAATGCTTCTGACAAACAGAGGTATAATTGTAAGCATCCCACTCTTTTCTGGAAGGATTATTACATTCAACCATGATACAAAATATTTATACTTACATCACTGTCAAAAGCTTCTTGGTTTTTATTGTGGCCTCCCTTTCCTGTCAAATAGTTTTCTTCTCAATAACCAGTAGGGAAATGAGAACTTGAATTTTAAAAAATGCCAGGAAATGAACTGCTGCTATCAGTAAAACTATATTAATGCAATTCTACCTGGGTTTGCAGATATCTGAGACAACATTCTGAACTTGGCATTCAGAAAAGAGATTTCCTTTTCTTCTCCTATCCTGGAAACCTCATATTTTCTTCACATCCGTTCCAAAGCAGGTTTGTAGGATATGAAGGAGATTATCTAGTCCAGACTTCAATGTAGACTCCACAGATGAATGAGCCCTAACAAATAACAAAGGAGAACTTACCATATGAAGCAGCACCAGATATCATGAGATAATTCATAATCAGGAATTTCTTTCGATGGCTAACTTCCTTGTAGACCTGTTACTACCTTTGTAAATGAAGCATGCCAGAGTTCTTCATTTTTCATGTAACAAAAAAAAAATTAAGGCAAGTGGGGAAGAGATTGTAAACGGATGGATGGCAAATTCCTGAGAAGCATTCTGTTCCACCACATTTTGCCGCAAGTCTTAAATATCCACGCTAGATTATTGAAGATTAAAAAAACCTCTACTTTTATAATGGAGAAAATGTAGTCTCATGCACCTACATCAACTACCCTACCTTTTCTTCTTTTAA